AATACTACTAATACCTATTTGGGAAACCTGTTTGAAAACAATAGTTAATTTTGCATTTTTATTTGGTGCCACTGTAGCCAGAAATCACGCACGTAAACTTCAAATGTTCACAAATCAAATTTAGACATTTAGCCTATAAAATTTTTTTTTTTAATAAAATAAACAGCTAAATGCATGAGGCTGAAGATAATTTGTATAAAATTTTTGGTTGAACTATTCCACCAAGAAACATCAGCAGAATTAAAGGCTTGTGAAGGATTGAGATGCAGTAATAATGAGTGACCGTGGAGTGGCAGCAAAAAGAACAGACCTTCTGCAGAGACACAAATGGTTTAACAATCTTATAACAGATAAATTCTCAAGATGCTCTCTTGTCTATAACAGTCAAATATATATATATATATATATATATATATATATATATATATATACATAAATATAGCACCACTAGTCTATATTCTTTTGTCCAGGCCAGTTTTGTTATGGGACTGTGTATTAGACTCTTACTGTTCTGTAAGTATTACAGTAAAATGTACTTCTACAGTCCCTTAAGCCTGGGAATTTCAACAATGTCCAGGCAGTTTTAATCCAAGAAGATGAATCTTACAACATTGCAATCATATGCGTACACATAGACGCTACATTAAGTTCAAGGTCATGGCAGCTGTGATGTTTTGTTTTTTTCTTTCAGCTCCAGGGATCGTGTGTGTGTGTGTCTGAGGTTTCACTTTGCCACTTCAGCAAGACATAGCGACTATGTCATGATCTCAATTCAAGGCCATTCAGTGCTACGCTCCAAAAACTCAACCTACAGGTTACACACATGCCTATGTTTACTGCTTGCGCATATGTTCTCACAAAATGAGAGGAGGAGGGTGTTAAGACTTGACTGACAGGGCTTCTTTGAATCTAGAGATTGTTTCCCAGACAGTGTTATGGGCTTGTATTATTAGGACACATGTTGCCTACACTTGTTCATATGTGCTAGAAATAGTAGGCTATGCTTTATGTATGCATAACATTGAAGAATAGATGCGTATTCACTAGGCTGTCAAAAAATTATTAAATAATTTTCATGATCAATCGCATATCAATATCATTCCAATTTCTTAAATGTTTGCCATAAATTTGTCCTGCCATATATTTTTCATCATTGTGTATTCTATTTTGGCTATTATGTAAGTAAAATATTATTTCACGTTGACTTTCAAACTGTCAGTCACACCCACCACAAATGAGATCACTTTAATATATCAGTTGTTTCTTGTAGACTTGTAAGTGTCCTGCTTCTCAAATGTTTCTACTGAGAAAATATCTCATGTGTGAGTTTCAGAAGAGAGTGCAACAATATATCAAGACTGTTCTCAAGTTTGCCTAGATTGTATGTCAACTATTGTCTGTTTTGTGTTCTCTTTCATCATCTCGTGTTCGAGATCCACCTATGGAAGGGCATCCGTACCTGACCTCTGCAAAAGCATCCAATTGCACCAAGTCTGGCTAGACAGACAGAAGCGCGCAGCCAATGCCAGGTAAGGCCCCACCCCCTTACCTGAGAGCATATAAGGCCTGCACGCGACGCTATTCTCCAGTTGTCATTCGCTTCTCGCGATCTCTGCACTTCACAGCTCGGGTTGGATTTATCACTACTCACTTTCGTGTCTTCAGGAGGGCATATCGTCAAGATCAGCCTCCACCAGACGTCACAGTCTTTTATTCAGCCCAGAAAATAGCTGTTTTTGCATCCTGAGCCACCCACACTCTGTGATAATTTTCACCTGCTCCCTTTTCCACGGCTGCCCACCACTGATTTTACTCAGTTTTTCGCTGGCATGTCGCTCTCCAATCCTACTTCTCTCGGGGGCTGCACATCACGGGCCTGCCCGGCCGCGTGCGGCGCGCTGTTCGCCGCTAAGGATCCGCACCCCTTCTGCGTGGTCTGCTTGGGCCTCAAGCATGC